TCCTGCTGCTGCTGGCTGCCAGGAGGGCCAAGCAGCAGTGCAGGAGTCCCAGAGCCTGACTCTAACTCCAGAGGATCCAACACCTCCAGGAGGGAAACTGGACTGATGGGTTACTGACATGTGGCTCTTAAGGTTATTAACAAGAAGCTTTAAACAAGGAACACTAATGTTCAACTGAAGAGGTGTCTGACTGTTAAAGAGAGTGTTTTATAAGGTTGATGTCCTCAAATCTGCTTTAAATGTGATAAATGGTGCCCTCTTGTGGTCTGATTTCAAGAAGTTCGAAGATAACTGGATAGGGAAGTGATATTGAGTAGAGAGAAAACATTTAAAATAAACAACAAACTTATACAAACCAACAGTAAAAAGATGCACATCTATGGAGTAACTATAGTCAACAATATAACAAGAAATAAGTTATAATGCATTGTGCCAATCCATGCTTATTGTCACACATTCAATCTGTGCCAAACTAAACTGAGGATCTCACAGTCTACATTTCTACACACATTCACTCTCCACATGCTTAATCAGTATGTCTTTGAAGGTTTAACGTGTTAGAAATGCCAAACCTGTGTTGTCTATATATTCAAATTTTACTTCAATGTTTTTTCTACAAAAAATATATATCCATTTTGGTTCACCGTGCCTGCTGGTTAAAAATGTGAGTGTTCTGCGGCTACTTATTGTCTGTATTTTGAGCCGATTGATCATTTAAAGTGTATACTGTTTATTCAGTACTTTAGGATTGAACAGTGTCTGTATCTACAGTGTTTTTCTTTACTTTTTGAAGAATAATTGTATCCTTCTCAATTGTTAAATGTATTTCCTTGCGTGCAAGCAGCCCTTGTGACTGGGGGATTTGACTCGAAGGCCAAAGGCAGCTTTGTTATTTGACTATTAGAACTGAGCAGAGAGGAAGACTGGATTCCTGTTGCTGTCACTCATGTCGGACAGGATCCTTTCAGAAAAACACAAATGCATATTATTAAACACTTTTCCCAGACGTTTCTAAGGCAACGTAAACATCCTTTCGGTCCTCACAAAGGATGGAAAGTGGGCGTGGGAGGAGATGTGTGCAGAAAACTGAAGATACTGGCCGTTTCTTAATGTCGAGTATACCTGCTGCAGTGCCACTATTTCAAGTATACGCCATCGAGTGGCGCTGAAGGACTGTTTAAATGCATGTTAAATGCCCAGCATTCGGCGCCACTCGACGACGTAGTATACTTGAAATAGTGGCTCTGCAGCAGGTATACTCGACATTGAGAAACGGCCTCATTGTAGTCATCGGATGAAACCATCCAGCTGTAGTCAAGGGGAAACAAGCACCAAGACATCGCAGTGCAAACATGAGCTATATGTTGGTTTTCCAATAAACTATAAGTTGAACGTATCTCTGATTCCTCAAGCTTCTTAAAGGGGCCCTATCATTTTTTGTGGGGTTTCCCTTTCCTGTAGTGTGTTATAAAGGTTTGTGTGCATGTAAATGGTCTGCAAAGGCTACGATCCCTAAGTTCCAGCCTGCAATTCCTCCATTGGACTCCTTTGTTTACTTCAAACATAGGGTTAGGGTTATTGGCTAGCTTCTATTGGCTATCGCTCCAACACATTGTACGTGAGGCTAAGGGGGCGGGACATCTCTAAGCGGTTGACCAATCACAACAAAGCCGGCCAGCTAACCAATCAGAGCAGACTGATATCTGGTTTCAGACAGAGGGTGAAAAGAGGTGCTGCAGCAGACAAATAAAGAGCTTTTTGAACATTAAAGCATCGAGACCTGTCACAGTAGAGACACTACATACTGATATGAAGCTGGACATTAGCATAAGAGGGTCCCTTCAACTGCAGCCATCTTCTCTAAATATGTACTTTTTCAAGATTGTAAATAATATCAGGAAAACAAGTTGATGAGACAGTCAGTTTTCAAAAGATTCATCTTTAATGGAATGAGATCTTCCATGCTCATTCAAAAGCATCACAGTGCTTCTAGAAAATGTCAGACAGGCTTTTCATTTATACAGAAATGATGACGACATTAACACAAATATAAAACAAACTAATGGTAGCTTCAGTCATTTCTTGATACAGTGTTTAAACAACAGGAGATGCTCAACAAGGTGAATAATACATTCACTAAAATAAGAACAAAGCTGTGTTACTAGAATAATAATACTAAAGAAGAGCAAAATCATAGAGACCAGCTCGTTTTCTTGCAGCGTGATATCGTGATATGAAACTGGATATCATCTTAGATTTTGGATATTTAAATATTAGTTTGTTTTGCTTGTTTAAAAGGCTGCATTACAGTGAAGTAAAATGATGTAATTTTCTGATATTAGCCTAATATTATATACCTTCATCTACTTCATATTCATTTTACAGGTGACCATTAATTTTCTAATTGTTTTGTGAAAGCATCAATAGTCAACCCTACAATAACATACTCGAGGTATAGGTACAAATATTGTGTTCTGATGGATTCGGACAGAAGTTGCCATATTTTAATGCTAAATGCTTTCGTGTATCCACAATAATAAGAAATGGACCCCATGAGATTACAACTGAACCCTATCAGTTACTTTAAGGTTAAACGCTCTTTAAGGCAAAGTGATCCACCACACATATCAACGGCAGAGCAACGGTGTCATACATAACGCCTTTACAAAAAGAAACATAACGGAACGATTTCAGAAATAAATTAAATGTAACAATAAAGTGAAACGTCATTGTATATATTACAGTCTGCTCCATGTAGCTGTGTTCAGGGAAGAGCCTCTGTCATATTGGAGCCGGATATTTGGTGCTTTGGGCGGTTTTAAGGCCTGAAATGTCAGTATTTGTGCATCTTGGTAGATGGGATGAGAGGAAGAAAGGTTATCTGTCATTAAATGTTAAGAAGACAGATGATGCAGCAGGGCCTCCTTGAAAGTCTGGACGTTTTAATCCATTTACATCACGTTTTTTTTTTAACATTCTCCCGTTTGAATGACTTCCTTCTCACTGTTCATGGTTGAAGATGAGGAAGGCCATATCAGAGATGAGGAAGGCCATATCAGAGCTCATTTCCCAACACAATTCATCCAAAGTTGAAGCAAAAACAGGTTCCTCTGAGTTTTGTTTGACCTTAATGATACTTCCCACAC